TCTATATATATATATATATATATATATATATATATATATATATATATATATAAGTAAAACACTCATTTAAAAATATAAAAAATAATTTATTGTATAAATTATAATAATATATTTTTTAAAAATAAAACATTAATGTTCTAAATTTTTATTTCAAACTTCATATATTAAAAAACCAAATTTATTAACAAATAAAATTACATTAAAAAATTAAAAAAATTAATTTAATGAGAATTTTAATAAGAAATAAATAATTAAAGAAATAAAATTTAAACAATAAGAATAAAATAATCGGATATGTATGTTAACATCAATATTAAAAACATAATTAATATTAGTTCAAGGACATTAAAAGTACCAATAATATATATGTTTTATTTTTCGGTGAAGGGACCAAGTATATATGATCTGTTTAACTTGCATAGCACTTATGCTATGACATTATGTATGTTATTTTAAGAGTTTTCTTTTGCCTCTCGGTGATCAAATCTCAAAACACATCAAGATTTAAAATAATTAGTTAATTTTTTTTTGTTTTATCATGAGATTGGTAGCCATACTTTTAAAAATATAAAATAAATTATAAGAAAAAAAAAGAGCAGTGGTGGTGCCTAGTTGATGCGTATGTGTGTGTGTGTATAACCCACTTAAATTATATAGAATATGTCAAAGTAAATAGATTTAAATAAAAACTATTATAAAATTGGTTTAAATAAATTTTGATTATATATTTATATATAACCTAATAAAAATGTGAATTTTTTAAAATAATTATTAATTTTTTGAAAAAAATTCAAATCAATTTTTTTTTTAAAATATAGTTAAATTATTTGAAACACACTTTTAACTCTTTCTCTCTCATTAGAATTTATACAAGCACTACCACCATTTTCATATAAAAATTATAAAAATAATCAATCGTATAAATTATAATAATATATCTTAAAAAACAAAACAATCATGTTCCAAAATTTTATTTCAAAAGTCTTATATAAAAAAATTATTAACAAATTAAAAAAGAAAGAACAAACTAAATCTCAACAACCTAACCCATTTAAAAAAGAAAAAAAGAGATGCTAGTCGGGGAAAAAAAATAAAAAGTATATAGTAATAGAAATTTGAAAGATGTTAGAGAGGAGAGAACTGTAGCATGAACAGTCTCACTCTCATTTGATTTAGTTTTTTAGATAATAATGAGACTGTAAAAAATCATTTTAGCAGCTTAGGTCTTTGAGAAAAAGAATAGAAAAGAAAAGACAAAAAAAAGGCAAGGAGGGAGGGGGGTTGTTAAGAAAAAGAAAAGGAGGCAAAAAAAAGGCAAAGCGGAAAAAGAGAGGAGAGGAACTGTAGCGTGAACAGTCTCATCCCTATTTGGTTTAGCATTTTAGGTTATTTGATATACAACCTCGTTTTCGTTTAATAGAAGGAAAAAAAAAGTCCATGAAACAGTAGAGTATTAGTTCACCACTAAATCAAAAATTAAATTAGCGATTTTTTTTAAATTTTTTGCAACTAAAATAATCAATATTTTGTTTGTTCTAAGTTTGTCTTTTGATATTTAAGTAATTAAAATTCTGTTTGCTCCAATTTTTTTTATTTCCTTTAAATATAATATATTTTTAAAATTTATATTGGGTGCTATTTGAGGATATAAAAACCACCCACTTTATATTGCTTTCATCAGTAAAATTTCCAATCCTTCGCAAAAAACAAAAACAAACAAACAAAGGACTCACGATGCGCAATGATTTGTGTCGTTTCGAAACGCAAACACACTGGCAATGCCATTGCCGCCCCTTCCCCACTGCTCGGCTTGGTAGTTTTGACCGTTAGTTCTAACTTGTTTATCGATGGCATGTATGATATTGTCCACGTGACCCGCATTGGAGCCAACACAAGTGGATGAAAACAGAGCGCCTTTTGTTTGCAGTTTGTCCACGTCCATGAAAATTAAAATTCCTAATGTCTTGAGAGAGCGGTGTCTCACATGACAGATAAGATTCCGTGCCAGGTTATGTCGGCCCATTGGATTATTGCGCATCAACTCCAAATGCAATTGATTATTGAAAGTAGTGAAATAACAGAGCTATTGTTATATATTTATAACCTGAAATTAAAATTAGTATTATTTTTTTTCTTCTTTTAAAAAATCTCAAATTCGACCTTCGCTTTTAGATATACAAAAAAAAATTGGAATTTGCATAAAATAAGTAAAATAAGACTGTTTGGGCATAAATAAATCATTATACTGAATTAAATTAATCTTAGTTAATGCCATGTGATGAAATGGAGTCAGTTTGTGATACTGAAGTTATATTATTTTCTTCGTTTAATTGGAGCTATCTACAACTACAAAAAGTACTTAAAAAAAAAAAAACTCATGGTCTAGCTCCAAAAGCCTAGTAAATTGAAACTCATATTTTTGTCGTTCGGCCCACCGGCGTAATGTTTTGGTGGCAAGAGTCACGGAGAGCCAGGAATGAATACCACCGATGGATGAAGAGGGAGTTTTCAAAATAGTTCAACTAAGTACTAATATTTCTGGAAGGTTTAATTTAGTCCTTTTAACGGCTTATTAAACAGCAATCGTTGAATGGGATCAATTGACCAACATTTTATTGATTAATTTTTCATTACATATACGCATTCGTATATGAGTGTCTCACTCAAGCCCACTCTCATTCAGTTTTTCTTTTTTCTTTTTTCTCTAAAAAATATGTTCTCAATGTCTAAGTCTTCAAGTCATGGAGACTCTTGCTGGATCGGTTGATGATCTATTGGGGTGGGGGTCGCTAGTCCCCTAGTGACTGTGCCGCCTTTGTCCTTGGAAAAGAACACGATAAGGGTTGGTGGAGACAGACAAGCTGCCCAGGAATCATGTGTTTGATTAATATGTAAGGGAAAAAAAAATTCAAATCGAATGATATGATATTTCTGTGTAGGATACTGTTTGGTTGGCATTTTGTTCTGCCCAAATTTTGCATGACGGATTGGTAATCGTTACAACTTGTACCTACCTTTTTTCGGTAAACTTTTCTATATTTTTTCCTTTGCGATAAGGATATATTTCTAGCATTTGTACGATTAATCCTTCCTTCTTTTTCATCCATCCAATAAGGTATTACATATTATGTCTATCTTTTTCCTTCAATTTTTATTTTCCACCCAACACGACCTTAACAAAATCCAAACGAACACTTAAGTTGTTAGCTCATGCAATAAGTGAATTTGTTCGATTTTAATCTAAAAAGAGACCAGGGGACAAAAAAAAACAATTTTTACTCCACCAAAAACCCACTTAATTCCAACCTTTTGTGTAAGCTTATCAGTTATCGCTCGTGGGTTTGCTTTTTATACACTGCACAAAGATAAATTTTGATTAGCTATTGTATTTTTCACTTTAATTTTGTCAATAACATAATTGTTTTATAAGCTTTTTGTTAGATTAGTAATTTTTATTTATTTATTATTTTTGGTTAAGAAAAAAAGAAAAAGAACAGACAAGAGAGAGAAAATAATGGACAAAGGAAAGAAACATAACATTAAAAAAAAGGCAATATGAAAAAAATAATAATTTAATAAAAAAATAAAAAAATTAAATTATTGATGAAATTAAAACATAATAAACTAAATAATTAATATTTTAAATAAAAAAATTAATTTATTTATTTTTTGAAACAAAAGGGATTAATTTATAATTTGTTTACGTGCTTTTGCTACCCCATTCCTTGGACTGCACTGTCCACCTCCAATTGGGTTGTATTAAAGAAATTATCATTTTGTTATATATAAAAATATTTTCTCGGGAAAGAATCAAAGATTTTGGGGGCTACAAACCAACCAGCCAACCAAAAGCGGAGTAAAATAAAAAGGAAAACAGAGAGTAAGAAAAAGGCAAGTCAATACCCTTTCTCCAATAAGATTCCTCCTGAAAAAACAACTGGTTGGCGGGCGCCCATTTTATCTCTCTCACTGTCACCCTTTTCTACGTTACAGTTTTCTCAAAACTAAACTGAAGAAGCAAAAATTAAAATCAGAACCACTCTACTACTAATCACAAATGCAATTTTAATTTAATTATAGAGACGGGCAGGTGAGGTTGCCCGTTATAAATTCTAATTCCCGTACGCAACAATCACGTTCACAAATCACAAATAAATAGTAAATAAAAAGTCATTTTCTTATCGAGCTATACACACACACATATAAAATCCTTTTATTGTTGAGAGCTACTGCTATCTATCTTTTCTAACCTCAAGAAGAAATCTATCCAAATTTCTTATCAGATTCTGGTCAGTGCTCTTTCTCAGCTTCTCTCGTTTCTTTGATGATTTTACGGCCTGTGGAATTTTTTTGGTAACTAGTACTAGTTGATTTCTTTCTGGTCTTTGATTTTTTCTTTTCAACTGCTTTGTTCTTTGACTTGTAATTACTGTTCCTTTTGTTGAATGCTTAGAAGGAAAAATTTTGGGTAAATATATTAACTGGGTATACTAACGTTTGAGAAGTGAATTTTGGTGACATTACCTGCAAGAAAATTGAGGATCCATGGCTGATACAGTGAGAGATGCCATCTTTTCTATGATAAAAATTTTTAGCTGACTTTACTGATGCTTCTTTTTGGTGGAATTGGGGGAATGAAGATTGGATTGTTTTTTAATAGATCTTTTATCAACTGGGTTGAGATTTTTTTTTTTTTTTTGCCAATTCAATACACTGGCACAAGCATATGCTTCTTCGTTTTTGTTATTGCGCTTGGAAGGTTACTCCTGAACTTGGAATAAGACTCGACTTTATTCTTTTTTGGTAGATTTGTTGACAATAAGTCGCCTTCCTATTCGAATAATTTATTTACAAGTGATGTTCTTACTTGTAACAGAATTATTGTGGCTTTGTCTTTTGTTCTTCCCTCTCTCAAGATTTCTGCTAGTTGAATGTGATAAGCATCATCTTTTTTGCCCATTTTTTTACTATAATTTTCGTTTCTCTTGAAGATTGCAATCATGCCTGAGAAAATAACAGCGGAAAACCTTATCAACAACCTAGTAGAAACGATTGCTGATAGTGTTCCAAAGCAGAAATCTGTCTCATTTTTTGAGGAAGAGAAAGAATCTGTCACTTCTCGTTTCAATCGTCTGTTTGGGCGACAGAAGCCTGTCCACCACCTTTTGGGAGGTGGAAAATGTAGGGCCCCACCCCCCTCCCTCTCTCTCTGTGCATTTGTGTTCTATGAATCCTTATTGCTTTGGTGCTCAATTTCGCTCTTTCACCATGAATCATGCAGCTGCTGATGTTCTCTTATGGAGGAACAAGAAGATCTCAGCTGGTGTCTTAGCTGGGGCAACAGCCATCTGGGTGCTCTTTGAGTGGCTTAATTACCATTTCTTGTCTCTTGCATGCTTTGCCGTGGTTCTCGGTATGCTTGCTCAATTTGTTTGGACAAATGCTGCAGGCCTAATGAACAGGTGAGTTAAAGTGTTTACTCATGTTGCAGCTTGTTGTGTGTCGGTGTCAATTATATGTGATTATAACTCATCTTTTGTAATGATTTTTCCTTGTCACAGGTCTCCATCTCAGGTCCCCCGCCTTGTAATACCTGATGAAATATTTGTCAGCATTGGTAGATCAATTGGTGCTGAGGTTAACCATGCTTTGTGGTTTCTCCAGGATGTGTCATGTGGAGGAAACTTGAAACAGTTTCTTGTGGTAGGTCTTAACTGTGTTTTTTTCCTGGTAATCTTTCCTTCAGTGCATATTGCAAACCACACAACAGTTCTTGATTCTGCAACCATCTAAACTTTCCTAGCACGTATTGTTAATATTTTTAACACAAATCCTTTCATTACAAATTTATAGAGATGGATTCTGTTTGGGATGCCAATCAATAACAAGTAGATGTGTCCCAGACAGTTCTGAACTCTAGAAATGGCTTGACAGCTTTTCCCCAGTTGGTTTTTTGATTTCACGTTCAAAGAGAAACTTCATCTGGTCCCATATATGCTGTAAACTGAATGGTTGTCTAGAATTAATATGTCATTTTATTCATTTGGTAGGTAAATCAAACAACATTCCTAGGTAGAGTTTGGGAACTTTCTCATTGTGAACCTCCCGTGCAAAATCTTAAGGCAGGTAGTGATGTGAATTAGGAAGTATGCAGTATAATTTCAGTGGTTTTTGAAATCCAAACAATCTGTCATGCTGATCATCATTTGGAATATTTTGTCAACACTTTCCATCAAGCCAGAATTTTTTTCCCTCTAAATTATTCACGTGACCATTCCATCACATATTGGTCAGTTCAAAAACAGAGGAAGAGTTAATGTTTTGATTGTTTTTCTTAACCCCTTTTTCTTTCTTTCAAATTACGTTCCCCTTTCTTTAATTTAGGTGATCCTCTCTAATATGATGATGCATTTAGCAAAATATAGTCTTTTTTCAATTCATATTTTGTAATTGCCAATTCTTGAGATTAGTTCTGGAGATCCTAATTTGACAGATATTCTTTGTGCTTAAAATAGCATTATGCTAGTGTTTTGAGTTCTCGTGGGACAAATTGCAGTTTTGCAAAATTTCTGGTCAAATCATAGAAGAGATGAGGAATTATGTGATCCAACGGATATGGTTTGCTAAGTTGCAATAGGTCAATGATGATTGAATAATGATTTTATTATGCATCTGCCATTCTAATAATTGGAGTTATTGGTTCGCACAAAATTCTTGCAGGTTGTAGTAAGCTTGTGGGTTGCTGCAATTATTGGGAGCTGGTGCAACTTTCTAACTGTTTTATATATTGGTGAGTTTCTGATTGCCATCTGCTGATGACAATTCCCAGTTCTGCAGATGTGATCTATGATGAATTTTGTCTCATTTTTCATTTACATGTTTATGTTGTTTAAATAAAAAGGGTATAAGACAAACTATATACATTATCTCTGCTGCCTATGTCAAATCTTTCTTTAAATTTAGGGGGGAATGGGAGAAGAGAAATGTTTGATAACTTATGCGTGCTTTTATCCATAACAAGCTCGATTTGATTTTGCTTTCCTTTTTCAGTTTATCTTGTGTATTTTGCTTTCTTCCCTTTACAAATAGCAGCCGACGAATTGGTTTTGTGATATATTATGATTTTGAAAACTGTTGTTCTTCTCAAGGTTTTGTTGCTGCACACACATTGCCAGTCCTGTATGAAAGATATGAAGACGAAATCGACAACTTTCTGCTCAATGCATTCGATCAGCTCCGACATAACTACGGTAAGCTTGATGCTGGTGTCCTCAGCAAGATCCCCAAAGGAAGATTCAAGGGAAAGAAGCATGAATAGATTCACCTACTGTGTATCTGTGTATTTGGTAGTTGTCCAGGCTAATTTACTAGTTGGACATCCGAGTAAATCATTTATGGAGTGTGTCATGTTATTAAGTTAAATCTGCCAGAGAATGTTGACGTGCTCAGTGCATGAATTCATGATGTTTTAAAGGAGTATGATTTATCCAAGCAAAATCACGAAGATTAAATAGAAATATTATTTATTTATGGAAAAATTAAATATAAAGTCGAAGGCACTGAAAAGAAAGGAACTTGAGGAAAATAGGGGCTTTATGACGCTATTTTGGTGGATACAACTTGATCCCTTGAATGTGTGGTGTTAATTATTCTATTGACATGCCCATGAATTTATTGCCGCAGCATTTTTGAAGTTAAATGTCAAAATTAAACTTAATGATACCAAAATTTCCCGATATCTCACAAAATTGAGAGGAAGTTATTCAGAACACCCTATGCTTAGGCTTTATTACACTTTATACTATAGGTTTTGAAAAACAACACTTTGCTTCCTCTGTGTTTAAATTTATTGCACCAGCGCACCATCTTTTCATTGCCAATTTGCCCCTGCTGCTGTCTTGAGACACTACGTAAGCCTTAAATACAATTTGGTCCTTAATCTTATAATATGCAATTAGAACCTCACTCCCTGTTAATTAGTGTCCTAGAAAAAGGCTGCAGGATGTGCATGCAGCATAATGCAGAGAAAAAGGAAACACACATTTTAGTAAAAAAGCGCAAAGATAGAACTTTTAATTCCAATAATATAATATATTTAATGATAATTTATATGAGACTGATATGGCAGGATTTACATATCCTTGAGGCGTTGGTTTTGACGCGATAACCGATAAGTGGATTTACTTCTTAGGTTAAATCTTTGGGTTTAAATCCATAAAAAAGACTATGCATAAGATTTTTATTTTTTATAAATGCTTGTATTTGTACGAGCACAAATGATCTACGTGAGGTAAAGTTGGTAATAAAAAGCAAATTAAGGAAAAGAAATCATGACATGGATCTAATCCACGCGATACAAAATTTTATCATATTAATCACAGGGATTCACTACTATTAAAAGTAATATTATCAGAATTTATTGCATAATCTCTCAACGACTTAAATACATATGAACCCCTTTTATATTTTTTTGTTCTGTTCATATATTATTTTTTGTCCCACTTTGTAGTCTTTGTTTCTTATTAGAGATGTCATATAATTAATATTTGTACTCCATTTTCTTCAATTACATGGGAAAAATATATATGATTTTCCATTTTATCTTTAATTATTTGATTGGTTATAACTTCTTCTTCTTTTTTAAAAGAATAATTGCAATTTCTGTACATTTTTCAAGATAATAATATCTTTTTTGGAGAATATGCACTACAAGTGATACGTGCAAATCGTCACGAAAAGAACGGAGTCGATTTAAATTGAATTGGAGATTTTCTCAATTAGAGTTTGAATGAATTGAAAGAGTGGTTGAGTTTTTAATTGCAGTGGGCTATGTTAGTGTAACAGGCTAGAAATATATTGTTGGCAGTCTATTGTTTTGGGCTAATGGATCAGTAGTATTGGGCTTATTGTGTCAGCGTCCTTAGTGGTTATTGGACTAATGCGTCGCTAGTAATTGTGGCTCGTTGCAATTCTGTTTTTTGTTTCCATCTTCTTCCCTTTCCTCTTCCTCTGATCTTCATTTCTCCTTTTTTTTCTGTCTTAAAAAAAGTGATAATCCACCATATCAACAAACAACACAATAAATAATGTTTTGAAATAGTTGAAAATTCAACGATGGAAAAATAAAAACAAAGTGGGAGGAGGGAATTAATAATATTTTCCCAAGAAAATGTAAATTAAAGGACAATGCCACCACATAACTATGAGACTATATAACGGGTGCCCAAAAAACGGATCATGTTCAGAACAGAAGAGGAATCCCTTAATAAAGACTAGTATACTACCACACTCCCATGTCCAAGTTAAGCCACCAAACAGCATATTCTCCCATTTTGGCCAGAGCATGCAAGATTTGATGATCAAATGGCTTGATCATATGATGTACCATATATTAGCAAACAAAAGATAATTTGATAAATTCTTGGCCGCACCGATCATTCTTTCAACTTTGACTGACGAGACCTAGTTAATTCTAGACACTGAACATAAGCTGGTTCTGTGAGATCAGTTCCAGAATGAATTTTAGAGTCATTAATTAATCATCCCTATCCCACCATACCAGTAAAGTTTATTCATTAATTTCTACATATCAATATTAATTTCCTTAGGTGTCTTTAATGTTATAAGTTTTGCTTTGATCTCTTCGTCCTCAAACTGCCCATGTTACCTCTTCCATTGCACCTCTTTTGAGTCTTGACCATTCCATTCTCGTGGCATGGTCCATGCTGAAACCTGCAGCGACTTTCTAAATATATTATTATTATTATTTTGTTACATTAATCTAACGGGAATTTTTAATTAATTAGTCGCTTGGCTTGGAAGTCAGTAGTTATCGATCAAATATAACATAATATTGGTCTAACACTTGGGTCTAAAATCTTCCTATTTTAGTATATCGACATACCCTCAAGGCTGAGACGCAAATAATGTTGTAATATATAGGTTTCCTATGGCTTGGCTGGCAAGGAGCTTCAGTCATCTATATTTTGCTTGCTTTGGCTGTTTTTTCTTTGCTATATATTAATTGATCCTGAATATGGCGCTTGAGGCGTCCACTTGTGCTTCTGATAGGTGCTATATCCAGTTCCTATAATGTTTCCTAGGCAGTGTGCTCTCCCTAATTTCTTCTCTTGGTTTTTGCTCTCGGTCTCTTTTGGCTTATATGATTTTGTTGTCTCTGTTGCTGCTGCTTTTGCTGTGGTACCTTCAATTCACGAACTCTTTTTCGTCAATTTGGCTTCCAAAGCGGTGTTTGATTTAACTAAGATGATCTATTGGCTTATCAAAAATACACACAGGTTCGAGTTTCGACTGTGAACAGTCCAAGCTTTTCTGGGGCCAAGAGTCTGATATTCCTAATTACCATTCAAAGCCAGCTTGGCAAATGAAAGCACGAGAGAATAGAGCTTGAAAGTGTGCGATGACTATTGCCCACCACGTGCCGATCGTGAAAGACGTAAGTCGAACTGAGGTAGTGGAGGCCCACCTGCCATTTGGGCAAAATGAATGGAATCCAAGTTAACCATGTCACTCCTGTTTTGCTTTGGAAGATATGACAGAGAAAAGGCAGAGAAAAGTAAGGCAAAGATCTCGAGTGCATTTCTTGGTTTTACAGGAGCACTATTCCAAGTTATAAATAGAACACACACTAGCTTTGTATGTCTCAACAACTCTTTTTCTCTAGCATTAACAAGCTGCCTTTGGTTCTTTCTTCAATATCTCTGCAATGGTGATTGTTGATAGCAACAAACCTTGGGTTTCCAAGCTGGTTATCTCCAAAGACCAGTTTGTTATCAGCCCCTGTGTTTGCGAACGACGTGAGGGGGACGACGACGACGACGACGACGGTGTGGATGTAGCACCTGCTGCATAATTACCTACCTACATAATTGGCATCATGAATATATGAGGCTTTTTGAGCTCATGTGTCGTTTGGTTAGGAAAATTTTTAGGTTTTTTAGGGTGTGCATGTTATATATCTATATGAACATGCTGAGTTCAGCTCTGTACTAGTATGAAATGCCGAGTTATAACATAATAGTACTAATTGCTTTTTAAGGAAAATAATATCATTATAATAAACTTTATATGATTATATATTACTATATTATCTCTCTCTCTCTCTCTCTCTCTCTGTCACTCACTCTCTCTCTCTCTCTCTTACACACACACACGCACAGAGACTGAGAGACATACAGTGATCAGAATAGAGTCCATGAAGATGCTTGCTTAGCTTGCCCACGGGATGAGCTAGTTATCATAAATTAAGTTCTTCCATTCTCCTAAACATCAGAGACTTTTTTTTTTTTAAGGAAGAAAATACACTATGTGAATTTTGCAAAACTAGGGTTTTTTGGAACTCGGGGTAGACCAACACTTGGCTACTGGCGGAAGCCTAAACTTCTAATAATTATAAATTATCTCCTTAATTTTCCATGTTGATGAACATGCCAGCTTTTCATTTTCTTGGCATCATTATTTTTGCAGCCTCAATTTCTCATGGGTTCTATATTGTGGATGTTTGATGTTATTTAATTTCCATTCTAGCTCACTGATTGTTTTCGCACTATATGTATGTATGATAATGGAGGAAAAGTATTGTTGATGTATGGCCTGCATTTTCCAAAACAGCAAATCAAATGGGTATGGGAACCACTTTCTCCTTATAATCTACCAAAGAATGAGAAAACAATTCGAATTGCCTAGTTTTTGAGAAGCATAGATATAGAGTATATCGCTGTCCCATTTATTCAAGGGGTTTTCATTACAAGAAACTCAGCCTCTCGAGGCTCAGGATAACAAAAGGTTTAGGGTTTCTTCTCCAAATATGGGTTACTAAAGCAAACTGTTTGAAGAAATGTAGGAAATCTTCCAAAAAATCCAAATATGGTTTGAAGTTACGCCTAATGCTATAAGAAAACAGAAAAAGCATGATGAACTATGGCTTTACCTCTTCACGTACGATGATTACAATTGAAGCTGCGATTTAGCATACGACATGATCGTATGATTAGAATTCTACCTTTGAAGGCCACATATTAGCGAGGAGGTAGGGAAATTCGCTTTCAACCATATGGACTTTGGGATGACTGTTTTTGCTCGAGTACTTCTGGCCTGCGAGTTTCTTCTGGTAGACATCGGAGGAGTTCGTAGTTTCCTTTCGTTTTTCTTTTTGCCTTTTTTCTCTAATTGAAAAAAACAAGCACAATCTTTTCCTTTGGTATATATGGTAAAGTGATATTTTTCTTTTACTACGAGTAATTAAATCATCTTCTTCTGGGTAAATCTAGCTAGAGTGTCTAATTTAACAAACCTCTC